CCTTCCTTCCTTCCTTCCTTCCTTCCTTCCTTCCTTCCTGTGCATGTCACTTTGCAGGCAGATAAAGCTGGCCTTCTTCTGTCACACTTTGCTGATTCTCATAAACTATATTAGACATTTATAGCCCAAAAATGTGTAAGACTGGGCTAGAAATGTAGACATATCTAGCCTTATAATACTAGAGGAAATTGTGTGCATTCTTCCTCAGATTGACCACCTTCCTTCCTTCCTTCCTTCCTGTGCATGTCACTTTGCAGGCAGATAAAGCTGGCCTTCTTCTGTCACACTTTGCTGATTCTCATAAACTATATTAGACATTTATAGCCCAAAAATGTGTAAGACTGGGCTAGAAATGTAGACATATCTAGCCTTATAATACTAGAGGAAATTGTGTGCATTCTTCCTCAGATTGACCAGATGCCTTGCTATGTAAGAAGGCAAATATGTCTTGCTCCCAATGGGTGCCCAAATTCAGAAGTCACCCAGATTTTCAATTGTCTGTGTAATCTTAGCCCCATCATCCTCAAAGGAAGCAGCCCAGATAGCATGATTCAAAAAGACACACTCTGTCCAGAATGTGTTTACATGAAAACCCCAGCCCAGCCCAAAATTGTGGGTTTTGCATATTTTGACAGGGAATCTTACAGCCCAGGGAAGATCCTGGTGGGAGGGAATTAACCCCCCGATTCATCATCCTTGCCTATAGATGAATCCATTAAACAATGCAGTCCTACCTAATCATCTGCCAGAGATAACCCACTATGGCTTGCAGAGCATCATACGGTGTGGTCTCAGATGCTTATTTAGTTCACACAGACCAGCCGACGGTACCTATAGGGCTCATTTTGCTCCAGGTGGACCGAAATCCCCTTCTCCAGAAAGATGGATAAACCCCTTCGCAGCTGCACATTTCATGGGAAATTGAGTTATCACCGGGTGAGCTTTCTATGCACGAAAGCTATTTTCCCATTACCAATCTTTCCCCCAAGAGAACCCCTTGGGAGAAGCAGAGGCAACCCCAGAGATTACTGGAACACAGTCGGAAAAAGAGGGCTGTAAAGCTTTGACCGAGGCTGTCGTAAATTTCGGTCCAAAGAGCAGGTCAGTTGGAAAATGGAATTCAGGTGCCAGATTCATAACTGGCTTGTTGCGCGAGACGGAGTGAACCGCCCAGACACCTGCCAAATCATTCCTCACTACTGGCGGGCACACTAACATGGCATGTTTGGCTATATTCACATCTGGCGCACCCGACTTCCTCTTTTCTAAGAGAACTTTGAAATCCCCAGTCCCCTCGTGTGCTCTTAAAGGGAGAGCTGCAGGTTGCTTTTTGGCTACTCTTGAAGTCAAGAGTCTGAGAGCCTCTTTTGCTTCTGTGCGTTGTAAAAGAAATTTGCATTCTTCATTTTTCCTGCTCACTTGCAAACTAAAGATATCCGTCAGAAGTAGCAAAACAGGACGTCCGGTCAGTCCGGCGCAAGACCCCCGAGCACCATTTCTCCTCTCTTTTCCCATGACAAATTCATGGGGCCGGCTCTCTCGTTGGGTACTGTGAAGCAGTTTCCTGTGACAGGTTTGAGGGGAGATGATAGGGTTTATATTTGGGTGTTTGGGGTCAAAGCCAATGCTTCAAGCAGCAACTGGGAGCAAGAAACGGAAGCAAAGTCATTCTGGAAAAATCCAGGGGTGTTGCATAGTGAGTAGAGACGGGCTTGAAGTGAACCATGAAGCATACAAAAAACAAAACAAAACCCTAAATCAAAAAGCACCATGAATTGGGCTGTTTCATGATTCATTTCAGGGCGCTTTGGGGAAACATGCATACCCAAAATGAAACACCAAACTATTATGTGGGTGGGTGATTTGTATGCTTCCTATGCTTGGGAACTTCCAAGATGGTCTCTATAGGAGTTAGAGAAGCCCAACTCACAGCACATCTTCAGCCGACTCTCTTCTCCACCCCCTCCAAGTTTGACAAAGGTTGAATTTGGAACATCCTAGTTATAGCCCCCCAAACCAGGTCACTGCCAGGAAAGGGCTTCTTAGCTAGCTGGCTAAAAGTGTATGATGGACCACCATAGCCATACAGTACAACCCCCTTGAGTCAGATGGAAGTTCCCCTCTATTCGACATTGGTTAGGCCTCACCTTGAGTATTGTGTCCAATTCTGGACACTACATTCCAAAAGGATGCTGACAAATTGGAAAAAGATCAGAGGAAGGCAACAAGGATGATCAGGGGGCTGGAAACCAAGCCCTAAGAGGAAAAACTGGAGGGATCGGGCATGCTTAGCTTTGAGAAATGAAGACAGAGGGGTGATATAACATTTTTCAAATACTTGAAAGGCTGTTCTGCAGAGGAGGGGCAGGATCTGTTCTCGAACATCCCAGAGTGCAGGACATGCAACAATGGGCTCCAATTACAGGAAGCCAGATTTTGGTTGAATATCAGGAAAAACTTCCTAATTGTTAGAGCAGTACAACAATGGAACCAATGACTTTCAGAGGTGGTGAGTGCTCGAATACTGGAGGCATTCAAGAGAAAGTTAGACAACCACCTGGCAGAAAACTTTTGATTTGTATTTCTGCATCAAACCACCTGGCAGAAATCTTTTGATTTGTAGTTCTGCATCAAAGAGAAGGTTGGACTCGATGACCTTGTAGACCCCTTCCAACTTCACTGTTCTATGATTCTTTGATTCAAAAGGGATAATTTCTGGGAATCCTCAAGGAGAGACTCTCATTCATTCATTCATTCATTCATTCATTCATTCATTCATTCATTCATTCATTCATTCATTAGAAATATTTTTACCCCACCTTTCCCCTTGAATGGATCCAAGGTGGGTTAGGTACTGTATGACTGTGGTCCGTCACATACCTTTGTTGTTGCCCCTGACATATGGTGACTCTACTGAGTGAGTCACTGAAGTCTGTGGCTTCTGTTATTGAGTCAATTCATCTCATATTGGGTCTTCCCCTTTCAACCTGGCTTCAACTTTTCCTAGCATCCTTGTCTTTACCAGCAAATCATGTCCTCTCATGGTGTGGCTAAAGTAGGAAAGCATCAGTTTGGTGATTTTTGCTCCCAGAAAAAGACACGTTTTCCTCCCAAAACAGGTCGTAAAGAAGTTTTTCAGAATTGCAGTTTCTTGGCATGCACTTTGACATCACAAAGCAGCCTGTTCAGGACACCGTTTCCAGTTCTCTCCTGCCATCAAGGTTCACGTCTGAGTCTTAATCGTGACCTTCAAACACCAAAAAGACTCAGGACCTTGATATCTCAGGCAGCCCCTCTCCCTGTACCTACATCACTGCCTGATCTTTAAAATCTGCTGGGAGAGATGGCTTCCTCCAGATCCCCTACCACATTGAGAGTGGTGCGTTATGTACAGATGTAGGCAAGATGCAGCACTGGGTTGAGGAGCACCTTCTTCATAGACTTGGACTCCTTGGAAGACCAAGTCGAAGTCTTTGAGTCTGAGTCCCGAGCCAGAGGGGCACATGCGCAGATGGCAGGCCTGGAAGGGAAGCTGGGCGGGCACATGCGCAGGCCCCAAGGCATCAGGCTGGCGTCCCTTCCCAGAGCCAGCTTCTGCCTCTATGTCTGTGCCAGCCTATCTTTGTGGGCAGAGGCAGCAGCCAGCGCCTGGAAGGGAAGCAGCTATGGCCCATTCCTAAGAGGCGCATGACAACATGACTCAGGAAAATGGGTCTTAGACATGGGTCGAGTTCGAGTCTTCCCCCAAGACTCAAGTCCGAATCAAGGTGTGATTCGCAAGCAACGGCACAGAAGGCCGCCTTAGCCATGATGACACACACGGGCACACGTTAATGCCGAAGAAAGGTGGGGTGTGTATGTTTTGATCATAAGAGCTTGTTATTCTTACAAGATTTGCAAGCTTAAAAAAAATCCTTCCGGAGAGGAGAGACGTCTCAGCCTTGCCCCTTACTCTTCTGGCAAGTGGCCCAGAAGCCCCCTCCCGTTCCCCTCCCCAAAAAAAGCCAGGTGGGTTTCTTTATGGCCCACTGGCAACCCTAATTAAAAAGCAGCAGCTTCTCGGTTTATTGCATTGACTATTATAGTTTTACCAGTGGCTCTGGCGGGAAGGCAATTCCGAGGGGCACCGTTTGGATTCTGCTACCTTAGGCAGCAAAATTATCTCAGGCCATCTGTGCGAAAAGGGGCGTGCAGGCAGCCGTCCCGGCAGAAGGTTAGGCCCGGCGTTTGCACACCAGCACCAGAATGCGGCTCCTGCGGCCACATTTCTGTCGCCGTTACCATGGCCACGTCTCTGAGCCAGACGAAAACTGACAGCCCTTTGCATCAAATTCTGCAAGGAGGATTCTGCCAAATGTTTGCAAAGCAAGTTCGGTCTCCGCATTTCACCGAATGTATTCTCTGCTTTAATTCCCCGACTCCCAGGTAGGGAATGTCACAATGAAAGGTGTAGAACCATCCAAGGATCCTCCAGATCCTGATTCCTTCCCAAACAAATTTGACCAAGCATTGAGATCCCTATTGGAAGTTTGTGAACCCATCCGTTGGACATCTGATGTAAGCTATGTATAACCCAGGACGGGGCCTTTGTTCCTTATGTGACCTTGAACATCATCAGACCCATGGTCCATCCAGTTCATCATGGTCAACTCTTACTGACAGCAATGTGTATTGGGCAGGATTCTTTCCTAGTCTTGCCTGAAGATTGATATTCCCAGCAATGTCCCATTTGGCTTGAGGTTCTCTCTCAATGGGACTTGGGGAAACCCAATTTTCATCCTTCTTGTTCCTAAATTCTACCCCGTCTTTCTGAATCTGTAAACATTCCCCTTGTGAGTCTGAAACTCTGCACAACGCAGTGGCGACCTAATGTCACCTACATATTACACCATTTCAAACAAACAAACAAACGCCGCTACAGAAACACAAGAAGCGGAAGAAAAGGAGAAAATCAATATTCGTCTTTAAAAGAAATTCACACAGAATCAAATGCCAAACAATTCACAGGAAATCAGGTTTACATGGATGTGATTTTCAAATGATCTTCTTCAGAGCGTGCCATCGTCATGACCGGCCATCTAACAGAGCATCTGGCGTTCCACATGAGCCGCAACTAAGGCACGGCAAGAAGGGCTTCAACCCACAGCACTGAAATTTGGAGGGTGCGAATGTTTGCTGTGAGAACAGCAGCCCTCTGCCACCCCCAGATGTGTAGATGACATCTAGCCACTTCCCAGGCAGAAAAGAATCCAAGACAGGTTGGCACATTATGCCCACTGCATGCCCGGGCATTCCTGCCTCTTCCTCCATCCTTTCCCTGCATATCTTACGTCACCCAAAGTAGAGCAACGGAGACCCGGGTTCCATCCTGTCTAGTCACAGGGCTCAGAGCGTGGTGATCAAAAGTCAGAAATAAAAATATTAAACACAGATACAACAGTCCAACAAAGTGCATGGGGGACAAAATACACCAGGCAGAAAATCTTGCAGGTAAAAAAACGTGGTCCTGAAATGCACGGCACAGGATTCACAAATCCAGCGTGACGCTGCCCTGGATGAACCCTACTGGACAATGAAGAGAGACAATACATGGGATTCCAAAGGGCTTTCCTGGGGGAAATCCTGATAGCTTGATTCCATAGGATACCCATGGAGCTAAACATAGAAAGACAAATCGACCCAGTGAGTTGGACGGGTAGGAAAAAACGTAACCTGAAATGAAAAAGCAGGCCTTGCTTAAATTACAGGAGCGTTGGAATATGTGGTCAGTGTTGAGTCAAATTTTTGCTTTTGAAATGATCACGTCTGGCTTGGAACACAAGACAAATGGCAGCTACTAAACGCACCTTTAGGGGACAAAATGAGCAACGCACTTCTATCAAGAACTCTTTCCTGTGGGTTGCCCATGTGGCCTTTTTCTGTGGCTGTCCAGTCACTTCTTACAGCAAAGCTAGGAATGAATGACTTCTGAAACATCTTTTCATCGTCTCTGCTCGGGTCTTGCACTGTCGAGGCTGTGGTTTGCAAATTCAGGGCACGTGAAAAAATAACAACTGATATTTTTTTAAAAAAATGTCTCCAACTACCACAAAGCTATTTATTTCAACTCCTTCCACTCTCCTGAGCGCACACAGATGACTAGCAGCTCGGTGGCAACTGACCACCGTGGGCAATGAGGGGTGGGCAAGGGACCTCCAGAATTTCTTGGACTACAATTCCCATCAGCTCTTGGCAGCATGGGTGATGAAAGGCAGGGCTGAGAGATGCAGTCCTACAGCACAGGAAGGACCCACCCCAGTTGCATGTATCACTCCTTCTAAATCCGTCTCTTCTTTTGCCCCGGAAGGCAGAATTTGTCTGCATTCCCCACTCGACTATAAATTCGGAAAAGCAAAATATAGGAAGGGCGAAATTCTTTGTCTTGTTGGGCAGGACAAAAATCTTGGCTTACCAAGCGGTCACCTGGGCACAACGTTTACAGATGAGTAAACCTGCCACAGAGTCACTTTCTCGGGCCTTTTAAATTTGGGGGGATTTTGCTCAGTTCTAAACAAAACCACATAGAATCCTCAACCATCCCCAGAGGACGAAATGGGTCGGTCGCACATTCCCCACATCGAATAGCTATGTATGAAATCAACTCTTCATACATCCATAATAGTGAGTACGAAAGTTAATTTCTGTCAAAATTGCCTGAGGAAGTGGATTTCTCCCTGAAAGCTCACCTTAAAATAGAGCAGTTAATCTTTATCGCGCCATAACATGTTTCTTTTTTAAAAAAAATCTTTTCTTTTTGACCTGATCTACCAAGTCTCTCTTAACATCAGATTTATTTTACACCTTAATCTAGAGATGCCAAAGGTCTGCATTTTCAAGAGTTCCATTTTTCTAATTACCTTATTTAACCTTCGAGACCAGAAAACACATCCTTGACTCAACAGAGCTAATGGTAGCAAAGGGGAAAAGGAAAATCTAAGTGACAAAAAATGGTTCCAGTTTAACGACCCTCTTCCCCCCAGGGCCACATTTCTAAACCAAATGGGAGCAAACATTGCTACTTAAAATTATAATGATTTGGTTTAAAATAAATAAATAAATAAATAAATAAAAGCTGGGGGAAATCTGGCCCTGGATTGCTCATATCGCAACTTTTTCTTCTGAAATAAAATTGCTGGTGTGCTGGATTTGACCCTGTGGCTTCCACCGTCCTTCCTTGCCTGAGTGGTTTTAATCATATCAATACTCGGAAAGCCCAATATAAATATGCATTTGCTATGGATCATTTCTGTGCATTAGAAGGCCTGCTGCTGCTTGGTAATGTGTTACCCAGAGGGGTCGTCACTCAGTGGCAAAGCAAATGCTTGAAATGCGGAAGGAAAACAGGTGCCATGCCCAGCATCTCCCTTAAATGGGCTTTAGAGAACAGGATCTGCAAAACGACATTTAGGAAAGAAAAAAACACTGCCAGTAAGAAGAGGCAATAATGAGCTAGCTAGGTATCAGGTCGTTCCAGGGGCAGTCCAGAGCAATGTGTTGCCTGAGGTCAAGGGACAAGATGGCCTCTTCTGCATGCCATGCACAGTAGCAGAGCAGATGGGTGAATCCGTCTGAGTGGAGGCTGGAGGGGGGTGCGTTCAAATCCGTTCCGGATTTTAGTCCAAAGGTTCGAAAACCACTGGCCAAGGCGTTGGGCTTCTTTTGGGAGGAAGAACATCCAGCACCCTGGACAGCAACTGTAGAGGTCAGGCTGAAACCCAAGTCGGAGTAACATACCCTGAGAAACTGGAGTCACCCGCTTTCGTTCTGACTTCAACACTGGCTGAATCTCAATTTTGGATGCCATTCATGGCCAGGGAGAGCCCGGGTTAAATCTGGCAGCTCTCAAAGATTCATGTGCATGCCATTTCTTACTAGACCACGGCCCCATTTATTCAGGCATTCCCACGTCTCTGTTAGAATGACATTTTTGTCATTTCAGATCTTAGTAGAACCCAACATCTTAAAGAAGGCATTTTAAAAAAAACTGTGGTTGTGATACCTGTGGGCCTCCAGATGCTGTAAGACAACAGTTCCCATCAGATTCAACCTATCTGGCCCATTGTGAGAGATGATGGGAGTTGCAGTCATCCAGCCGCCTCTGAGGTGTAGGATTCCCGGTTTTCATAGATGTAGGTGCTTCCATTTGAGAAAACAACCCATGGCTGATTTCTTAAAAGAGCTTTAGGATTCACTGAATCCTAAACTCCGTGATAAATGAGGCTCTTAGGCATCACTGCTCGGTGGCTTTCCATGTTTAAAATGGCACCATCAGAATTCAAGGGGGTGAGGCAACGGGGAATCGGGAATGTAAAAAGTGACTTTCAAGCCCAGATCTGGTGGCCTACCCTTTTTTGACATGGCTGGTAATGGTCTGACATCCCGGCGGGGCTGGACATGGACGTTTGAAAAACACACACAAAAACGTACGTGCCTCTTACTCTCATCGTAAAGCTATGGAACGGCACGGCTCGCATTTTTAAGTGCACAAGTTTTAACATCAAGGGCAGCTGGGGTGGGGTGGGGATCGCTTAAACAGTGAGGGAGATGAAGCTATTGTATCGCTGGATGTTCCTCTTCAGGATTTCCGAACAAGGGCCCAGGACCCGTTCGAAGCGGGGCCGATCCAACTTGACGCACTTCAGCGGCCCACGAGCCACCACGGTGGCCGCCCGGGGCCTGTTCAGCAGAAGCGCAATTTCCCCTGAAAGCAAGAAGAAAGGGTCCCATGGTCAGGTCTCAGAGAACTCCCTTCTTCTGCTGCTGTGGTCAAAGTCAGGCTTCCCCTTTGTCTCTGTCGCGATTTCAGAGTGCTTGTCTCCCAACCGCCCCATGCTGGCTAAGGCATTCTCAAAGTTACGGCCCCCAGAACTGATCTTTGCAAGCTCTGCTTCCTTGGTCCCTCTGAGGGGATATTTTTGCTCTCGGTGGTAACATCTCATCATACAGTGGTGCCCCGCATAGCAATGATAATCTGTTCCGGAAAAATCATCGCTATGTGGATTCGTCGCTATGCGAAATAAAAAAGCCCACAGGAATGCATTAAAACCCATTTAATGCATTCCTATGGGCAAAAAAACTCACCGTTATGCAAAAATCCTCCATACGGCCGCCATTTTCACTGCCCGGTAAACAAAGAATCGGCGCGTAAACACAGCGGCCGGCCATTTTTTTACCCGGCGGCCATTTTGGAACCACCGATCACCTGTTAGAAAAACATCGTTATGCAAAAATCGGTAAGCGAAAAAGCTTACCGATCATCGCAAAGTGATTTTTTCCTATCTAAATCATCGCTGTGCTGATTCATCATTAAACGGGGCACCACTGTAGTCTTGCTTTCATCTCAGCAATTGGCTATGTTGCATTTCATGACTCGCCCTTAAACTAGCCCATACAGTATGTACAGATGATCTCTAGGAGGAGTCTATGTTGGAGTTATTGCAACCTCGCATGCTGCCTCTAGTAGATGTGGCTGGGAGGGACCTTTCTGGACTGTCAGTTCTAACGCCACTAACCAATACTTTCTTCCCTGCCTCTGATTCAAAGAGAGCCCCGCCTCTGTGCTCTGACTCTTTTTCTCACTTCTGTCCGTTGAAAGTCAGTGAGTCTGTTGAAGCCTGTCGCTCAAAACAGTTACGTTTTTAGCTTGCTGTGGTCTATTCACTGTAAGTAAATGAAACATTACTCTTCCCACTGTCAATGTCTCTGAGTTACAGAGATTGTGACTGCCAGTTGATGAGAAAAAGGGGTGGGCTACTCTAAGGAACTTAAGGAAGCGATTCTGCCTTGTGAATCCCTGCACTTCTGCTGCGCAGCTAGAGGAATTTAACCAAAAATTCAAAACTCTGCAATAATACCGCAGGAAGGAAACAATATGGATCAACGGCCGCCTTGTTTCAAGTGGAATCTTGGCCTAGCTACTGATCATCAGCTCCCAAAAGCTCCAACCAATATGGCCAAAGATGACATATTACAGGAGTTGTAGACCAAAGTTTCTGATCAGCTGAAGGTTCCTCATCTTCATTTTTTAAGGACAATGATGCTCTCCAGGATGAAAGAGAGGTGTCCTACCATATAAACCCATCAGCTTTTGTACCTTCTAGCGTCCTTCCATCCACATCCATTTTTCTCAGCTGCTTTCTGCCCCTCGTAAATGAGGCAAGACGCCCATCTTGCTCCATCCCCACCATTCTAGGTTCCTCTCATGGGCAGAACTAGATGGTAGCGGGGCCTCTGGGGAACGTGTCCTCAAGAAGCATCCACGGCATGTCAGGAGCCTCCTGCAAACCTCGCAGTGGCCACAGCCATGGCAGTAGCTTGAAAAGAGCTAGGAACCCTCATGACACCCTCCAGAGGCCTGACACTCTGCTCATTCCACGTGTGGGAAATGTAATGGTGGGATTTAAAATGGCTGCCTGCAGCTGAGTGGCCCAAGTAGGCGAGCCAAGACAGGGGTTCAGCATTGGCCAGTCCTCTCAGGTTTGGCAAGCTGCTCTAGCTGCCAAGTTCACCGGCACCGAATTTCATTTCTCTCCTAGTTACCTCTGGAGGAAGCCATTTTCTCCATCTGCCCTGTTTCTCAGCTTCTCCAAGTTCCCTGGGAGCGTGCTGCAGTATCCAGAACCTCGGAGAACCTCCAGACCTTCGTTCTTCAAGAAGAACCTCTCTAGTTTCCCACTCGGAGCCGACTAGCTCCTATCCATGATTGAATCTTACAGAAGCTTAGGGAGAGGGACCCGTTGGCTACCTCAGTGGTCCCCAACCTTGGGCTTCCAGATGTCCTTAGACTACAACTCCCAGAAGCCTTCACCACCACCCCTGCTAGTCAGGATTTCTGGGAGTTGAAGTCCAAGAACATCTGGAGGCCCAAAGTTGGGGACCACTGGGCTACCTCACAGAGCAGAAGGAGTTCCCACCTTACTGCCTTACAAACCCAGATAAGCCAGCCTTCGCTTCTCTTTCTAAACAGCCCGCAACCCAAAACGGAAAGGCAGCTTACCAAAATAATCCGATGGCCCAAGGCGTCCAACCTCCACGTACTCCTCCTTATCAGACCTCCGTTGGAGGACAGAAGCCGTGCCCTGGAAAACATCACCAGAAAGATTCGAGTCAGTTCGGTATTTTAAAATGCAATGCATTCCCAAGGCTGGGTATTGTGCTTGAAAACCAATGTATTCCCATTATTTCTTAGAATGCTTCAAAGTAATCCTTTGAATTACTCATCTCCTGATGGAGAGCTTGCAGGACTTTAAAGTTCACATTTTAATGATGTTTTATTCATCCAGGTGTTGCCCAATTCTCCTTTTGATCATCTTTTATTAACATTTGGTCACTTCTTGTAACTTTTTAATTAAAAAAAACACTTAATGGCGCAGAACAAAATGATCAGTCAAAGTGCCTCTAAAATGCATTACAATGGCCTTCAAAAGTAACTTTGGAAAGTAACTAGAAATGCTCGTGGTTTACACCAATCATTTCCCACTCGTTCTGCTACTCTGGATGCAGGATTTCCTTAGGCTGGCGTGGCTTCTTCACCCAAAGTCAGTCATTACAAATAATTGTCTTTTCCTGTAACTCATTATTTCAGAGTTCTGACTCAGACGGCCAAAAAGTTGCCTACTGGCCATCTTCAGGTCTGCACACCCAAGCACGCCTTATGAAATACGCACCCCATCTAAAATCTGCTTCAGGCAGCCAAAAGATTTAGCACGGTGGAAGGTTCTCCCATTTAAAACCCAGCGCAAACTGTGTAGCCAAAAAGCAATAACACCTTTGTGATCCTCGGCAAGGACTTTAATTAAATATGGATGGCTGTAATTACATTTCCACAAAACTAACAGAAGGGAAAATATTAGATGCCACACACAGCTCTGTTCTCCTGGTGAAGGAGAGCAGCATTCAAGGGCAGGGCCCACTCCATAGGAGATGAGAAGCCACCAAGCTGGAGGTTATACAACTGGCCTCCTGAAACTCTACAGAGAGTTCAGTAGTAGGATCTGGCCCACAGGTGTCCTCAGGAGGAAACTCTTTCCCCACAGGGAGACACACACACCCCCAAATCCTGAAGAAACCTTTCCCCCTTGCAGACAAGAAAGCTGGGTTTTTTTATATATATTTCTTGGACTACAAATCCCATATTACTCTATTCTGGGAGTTGTGTCTGACTTGCCCATACTTAAATGTGGCTCGCCTGGGAGCCAGGGCCTAAACCGGAAGGCTTTGAGGCTGAGCTAGGCCAAGCTCCACGTTCAGGAAGAAAGCTCCCAGCTAGCACCAGGACCCAAACAGGAAGCTTTGGTTGGCCTAGGCCTAAGTCAAAGCCTTCCAGTTTAGGCCTTGTCTCCCAGGGGAGCGAAATCTAGGTATCTGTAAGGCGAGTATAAATCAGGTAGAACTTCCTTAATGGAGAATTATGTGATTTTTAATTCCAAGGAATCTGAAATTCCCACCACAAAAAGCAGGTCTCCTCATGACTTTAATCAGGCTTGTTTCTTTATCATGTGCTATTCTTGATACCTCCAGTTTAAAAAACATGAGGAGGCAGATGTTAGAAGGATATTCTCCATCCAAAGTTCTAGAGCCAGACTAGCAGTCACAGTGGTCAAGGACACGATCCATGCTTATGATGCAGGATGAGACCTCTGAAAACAGCCCTACTGAGGTGTCAAACTCTCAGTATTCCAGAAAATAATCTGCCCACACTCTGGAAAAACAACAACCCCAAAAGCTTCTTCATGCCTCAATGTCTTCTCTACAGGAGAGGAGGAGTGACCA